GGGGCGCCGGCCCCCTTGGCCAGTCGGAGCTGTCTCCAGTGCAGCCCTCGCTCGGCAGCTCCCCCTCCGACAGCGACCTCTTCAGCCTCGCAGACACCCCGCCGGTGGCCCAGCCTGGGGGGCTGCAGCCTCTACTCCCAGTAGCAATGCCAGGTACTGACTGGGGCACCGGCCTCCCCGCCTTCCCCAGGCCCGGTCGTGGCCCTGCTGGGCAGAGAGGCGCCTGGCACCCTCCAGAGCTGGCAGCCGGGGGCTGGAACACCTTGCTGCTGCCCCCGCCCCGGCAGACCCACCGATGGGGGGAGGACAGTTCCACCAGGGCCTGGCGTTTCAAAGGGGCCTGGTGCTGTGGCTGCCAGGGCCCCGGGTCCCTGAAGGCTCAGCACCGTGCTTTGGGCAGCACTGAGGACTGATGGCCCTCAGCCCTGCCCCTTGCACCCAAAGCTCCTGGAAGTGCACAGCTGCTCCTCCCCCTCGCCCCCGTACCTGCTAGGGATGGAATGGTCTAGTCCCATTAGCTCTTCCGTTAATGCTGTGGACTACACGCTATAGACTCCCCCCTTGGCCAGTAAAAGTTTTAGCAGCCTGCCTCAGTCCCCGGCTCGCACCGGGTCTGGGCCCTACCCCTGCTGCGGCTCTGCATTTCAAGTGTATTAGGAGCCAGGCGGGCAGGCAGCCTGCCTCAGTCCCTGGCTCGCACCGGGTCTGGGCCCTACCCCTGCTGCGGCTCTGCATTTCAAGTGTATTAGGAGCCAGGCGGGCAGGCAGCCTGCCTCAGTCCCTGGCTCGCACCGGGTCTGGGCCCTACCCCTGCTGCGGCTCTGCATTTCAAGTGTATTAGGAGCCAGGCGGGCAGGCAGCCTGCCTCAGTCCCTGGCTCGCACCGGGTCTGGGCCCTACCCCTGCTGCGGCTCTGCATTTCAAGTGTATTAGGAGCCAGGCGGGCAGGCAGCCTGCCTCAGTCCCTGGCTCGCACCGGGTCTGGGCCCTACCCCTGCTGCGGCTCTGCATTTCAAGTGTATTAGGAGCCAGGCGGGCAGGCAGCCTGCCTCAGTCCCTGGCTCGCACCGGGTCTGGGCCCTACCCCTGCTGCGGCTCTGCATTTCAAGTGTATTAGGAGCCAGGCGGGCAGGCAGCCTGCCTCAGTCCCTGGCTCGCACCGGGTCTGGGCCCTACCCCTGCTGCGGCTCTGCATTTCAAGTGTATTAGGAGCCAGGCGGGCAGGCAGCCTGCCTCAGTCCCTGGCTCGCACCGGGTCTGGGCCCTACCCCTGCTGCGGCTCTGCATTTCAAGTGTATTAGGAGCCAGGCGGGCAGGCAGCCTGCCTCAGTCCCTGGCTCGCACCGGGTCTGGGCCCTACCCCTGCTGCGGCTCTGCATTTCAAGTGTATTAGGAGCCAGGCGGGCAGGCAGCCTGCCTCAGTCCCTGGCTCGCACCGGGTCTGGGCCCTACCCCTGCTGCGGCTCTGCATTTCAAGTGTATTAGGAGCCAGGCGGGCAGGCAGCCTGCCTCAGTCCCTGGCTCGCACCGGGTCTGGGCCCTACCCCTGCTGCGGCTCTGCATTTCAAGTGTATTAGGAGCCAGGCGGGCAGGCAGCCTGCCTCAGTCCCTGGCTCGCACCGGGTCTGGGCCCTACCCCTGCTGCGGCTCTGCATTTCAAGTGTATTAGGAGCCAGGCGGGCAGGCAGCCTGCCTCAGTCCCTGGCTCGCACCGGGTCTGGGCCCTACCCCTGCTGCGGCTCTGCATTTCAAGTGTATTAGGAGCCAGGCGGGCAGGCAGCCTGCCTCAGTCCCTGGCTCGCACCGGGTCTGGGCCCTACCCCTGCTGCGGCTCTGCATTTCAAGTGTATTAGGAGCCAGGCGGGCAGGCAGCCTGCCTCAGTCCCTGGCTCGCACCGGGTCTGGGCCCTACCCCTGCTGCGGCTCTGCATTTCAAGTGTATTAGGAGCCAGGTGGGCAGGCACCCCGGCTCAGTCCCCAGCTCGCACTGGGTCTGGGAGCTCAGCCCCCCCTCCCCTCCCGCCCTAGGAAGGGGCTGCTCCCGCCCGGCCGCAGCCAGTGAAGCTGGGTGTGGGGGCAGGGACGTGGGGACCCTAGCTAGGAGAGGGGCTCAGAGGGGGTGGTGCCCAGTTTTGGATGGGGACATGCTTAACCCTTTCCTGCCAGGCCGTGCTCACTCTTTTCTCCCCCGCAGGCTCCCCCAGCACAGCCGCATGGAGCTGGCCCTCCTTCTCGATGGCGCCCAGCCTGGTCCCGTACCGGCTGCCCACGTCCCCGTCGTTCCCACAGACTGCTGGGCCCCAGGCTGGGGGCTCCCTGCTGCCCACCACGCCGCCCGGGGCCGGACTGAGCACGCCTGCTACGCCCCCCTGGTCTCCTGTCACCTCCCCCTTGATCTCGCTGGCTGAGATGTTCTCCCTGGCAATGATGAGCATGGCCCACACGCTGCTGCCGACCGTCACCGTGGCTGCTGCCCCGCCGGGCGGGCCCCAGGCCCCTGCGCCGATACCTCGCCCGCAGGCCCTGTACCTGGGGCCGGCGCACTTCACCTCGCCTGACCCCGCGGGCCTCCTGGAGCCAGCGCCGTGCTGCAATGGGACTCAGGACCCCCACAGCACCCCCGCCTGGGAGCCAGCTCCTGCCCCTCAGAGCCTCGGAAGGGGCGGCACCAGGGGGAGCCTGCTGTCATCAGAGAGAGCCCCTGCCGCTGGGGTGCTGGCCAGCAGCTCGGTAAGCACCCCCCAGGAGGAGCGTGGGCCCAGCAGTGAGAGCTGCCAGGAGGAGTTAGGCTGGTGTGGGGGTATGGGGGGCGCTGGGTAGGCCCTGGAACGGGGGAGGGGGCACAGCCAGGACGTGCCCCCAGGTGAGGTGCGACCCCGGCTCTAAGGCTGCTGGGAAGGGACCCAGCGCTCAGGTCCTGCTGGGACTAGTTACCGCAACCCTGGGGCCGGGGGGACGAGCCGCTACCCCGGGCTGGGACAGTGCTGCTGGCTGCGGG